TATCATCAAGCTGATCATATAACGGATCTCGAGTTTGACGCAGTCGCGTGAATTGACAGGACTCGGTAGGACGTGTACGCGATCGTGCTTGCTTGATCGAGACATCGGCGAGGATCCGATCAAGATCATTTTGCCAAGAAATCGATGCTAAGCGAAGAAAGGCAGCATGGAGAGCCCGGAGCAGCCGAGTAACGAACAAAAACCGAAAGACAGGTTAGTCGACCTGTTGGATCACATCGAGGTTCACGTAGAGCAACTGCGGAAGGATGCCCTCAGACTTGAGGAAGAGAAAGATAGTCTGTTGACGACCCTGGACACTCTTAGGAACAATGATTTGCTGTTTACCCTCAAGGAGCGTGAGTGATCGGCTTAATTTTCATCATCGTAGAAACCTCTAGTAAAATCGAGATTTTTAGTGGGTGGGGGGGTAGGACAGAAAAAGATATCTTATTTGCGTAATTAATATGAATGATAGGCATTTTTTTTATCTCTGTAATTTTTATAGTATAATGTTTATATTGTTATGGATTTCGAAATTATTATCTCATTATTAATATTATTTAATATTACCTTTTATCTTAGAAGGAAAGAAATCTGGAGAAAAGTTAAAAAAAGAAATCACGTATGGGTTATGCATAATTGCAAAATGCAAAATTCCCCAACTAGTTTATCGTTGTCAATCTATTCGTTATTTATTTTAAATAATATTTCATATTTTATTTATATTTTAAATTATATTTTAAATTAAATACAAACAATATTAAAAACATCTTGTATCTTTACAGCTGATAGAGATGATATCTTGAGGTATGCAGATAGATTATCCATGCGATGTTCTACAGTAGATGTGCTGGTGACGGTTCAACGAGATCAAGTTCAAGAGGAAGCGTTGCATCAGGTACACTTGACACTTGGTTACCATGTTGTATAAAAATATGGTTTTACAATTCAAGATGTAATTAATATTGTTTTATTTGGTCTAGGTTAACGGTTTGATCGATAGCCTGGTTGTGGGCTTGCGACAAGATCCAAGTAGCACTCGACAGCGATGTGCCGAATTCATGAACGCGTGCTCTTCCCATGGCATGGGACATTCCGACAAAATCTTCGAAACTGCCATTCTCGGGTGTACATTGGATGATCAGAAGCGGGTCAAGAAGAGACTACAAGGACTGCTCGATTATATCGATAAGATGCACATCTTGGAAATGACACAGTAAAAATTATTTGATGGATAAATCTGTTTCATTTTCCATACGAGTTTCGAGCTTTCCGATCTTGTAGTGATTGTAGCAAATTGAGAGACATTTGGAAAAGGTACATTTCTTTGCGTCTTTTCTAAGCAATCAAGTTTCCATTCTCTTTCCAATCTATAAATAGTTATTTCAAGTGAAATGTGTACAAAATGCTCGGTGATCGATTTAATTCAGTGTTACAACAACATACATACCGATATCAGAACATTATAATTTTTGGACATTTTAAGATATTTAGTGTTTTGGCACATTAGAAAAAATGAAAGATTTTGTTTGAAAAAAAATTTTGTTTGATAAAACTTAAATCTGTACGTTTTGAAATAAAAAAGTATTTCCAGAAAATATATACAACTGCGATCACAAAATTTTAAATGATATGCGAATAATGTAACGTTGAAAATATGGAGTAAATAGGCCTCTTTACACCCTCATGTAATCTTGTATTTATTCTATGAAACAAATTGCGGATTAGTTTCAAATGAATGAAAGTGATTAATTCATTTTCTTTATTGTTAGAGGTATACTCTTGACAAGTTTGAAATATTCATTTGATATATTTTTAAATATTGAAATACTTCTTTCTTATTGCTCGTTTATAGCGGCTCCTTGTTAAATTTCTCTTGACAAAGATTTTATTTTTAGTAAAATGTACAAAGATTTTATTGTGTTCTATAATATTACAAATAAGTAAAAATTAAACATATGATAGTTATTAAGTAACTTATTGTAACGTACAATTGTCTTAGGAAAATAGTTTACACTAACTTGTTTGTGTTTAAGATTTCAGTTTCTTCACTGCGGTCGATTGAATCATGGCGTTAAAAATGTGAAAACAAATTTCATACAATTTTTCATTTTTGACGTCGTAGTTCAATAAAGTGCATTAAAGAAATAAGATCTTAACACAGTACATATTTGGAATGCATTTTAATTTTGTTATCTAATTTCACACTTTCGTTAAATTGAGCTGCTTTTATGTTATCGAATTTGAATAATCTTATCTGATAAGTAGTATCGACGCTTAATTTGTAAATATATATAACGATCATTATATATTATTGTTTAATGGATTAATATAATGCACAATGAAATTAAAGTTTTAATCTCATTTTCTTAATTTGGTCCTCGGATCCAATGCAATTTAAAGAAGGATAATAATTTATTCATATATGTGACAATATGGCAATATATTTACGAATTACGCGTCATTCATTTTATATCACTATTCCCATCCGTAGTTGCGAGTACGCGTAGTTGCAATTTATTAGTTGCGATTAATCTTTCGTATCTTATAATCTATAACCATTTGGTTAACATTATGAGCATGATTATAGTAAAAATACTTCTATTGCGTTTAAATTAATGAGCTCCCAAATGTTATGCGTACTGTGTATTCTTATACACGAGACCGTCGTAGATCATTAAAATATAATAGTCTTGCACTATCGGACATTGTAAATCACCGTCCGTTTACGCCTTCAGAAAATAAACTATATATATTTACAAGACACCCGTACCTTAGACATCTTCCGTACAATACTCGGAGCGCGATGTAACACCTCGTCATACCTACACTACATGAAATAGTCACAAGAGTCTACAAGCGTTTTTTACGAAATTTCGTTTCTTATGACTCTTCGTTTTGCCGCCTGGCCGAAGAATTATCGTTCCATTACCAGCGTTACGACCACACATTGACCCGTCCGGACTGAACGCACCTGCAAGCAAGGAGAGATGCAACGTCATCCACATTCTACACAAGTCTTACAGACTTGTGCAAGTAATAATACTGAGGGACAATTGAATCTACTCATACTGATAACGGAAGGGGATCTAGGCTCGGCGGAATATAATCTCAGGTCATCTTGATAGTCATCGTCGGAGCGACGCATTTCGTGCAGGCACCTGGACGCTAAATGTCGAAAGACGCTCATCACTCCGATATCCTCTTTTACGGATGTTCGCAGGAGTTTGCAACCTAAGGCACGGCCGAGTCTTTCGGCTTCGTCCCTGTAACATCGAATAACATTTGCTTCCGAGTTGAACGAGGTTTTATTTTTTTTTTTAAGAAAACTCAATAGAATCTGTCTAATGGGTCCTACTTACGGGTCGATCACGCTCTGGTCAACGAGATCAATTTTATTTTGCACCAGGACTGTGGGTATTTCTCCGCACTCATTCTCCACCTGTAAAAAAAAATAGGAGAGAATATTTTATAAAGTTTAAAAAAAATCTGGATATTCTTTTAACGATTGATTTTGTCCACCAATTTGGACTCAACTTTTCCTTTAACAAGAATGTCAAATTATCGGTGATCTTTAACAAACAGATCGCGAACAGTTTCGCTATCAACTTTAAATGAAATTTATAAATCTGTACCTTGAGCTTCCAAGAGGGAATAGCGTCGAAAGAATCCCTATCGGTGGCCGAATAAGCGAGGACGCAGGCGTGCGCGCCACGATAATAAGCCGCAGTTATCGCATCGAATTCTTCCTGTCCCGCGGTATCCCACAGCATCAGTCTTACATCCTCACCATCGACCCTGCCAGCACAAATGTGTACATTTACGTCTTAATGTTAATTATACGTACTCCTAGTGTCTTATAAATGCGTATATGCGGGTTTTTAAAATTACGGATTTAGGTTGCTGCGATTATTAGGCATGCGACTAATCGTGGGATGTTGAAGAATGGATCGTCCGTGTACGCGGCAAAATAAAATTCCTTTTTATATTGACCGACATTATATTACGGTAGCCGGTAGTGTCGAGAGGGGATGCGAGAAGTATCCCACGGTAGCTCGCGTTGGCACGATTAAAATCGGGTTTTTCTCAGGCACGTCGCTCTCGAATACTCGTATACGGATATAGCGGTATGACGATCAGCAGCGAATAATCAGATCAGTAAACATAATCCGAATAGATTTAATTTGCCTGTACCAACAGTTTCGTCGTATGTTTGTATTAAAAAAAAAAAATGTGTGAGGCGTTCACAGATTTCACTTCACTTTTGCTTCAAGTATTTTAAATATTTCTCACTGTTTTCTTATCCTATCATGTTGCTCATTCCGGCTTTTCCAAGTCTAATTAAACATATTAAATTAATGAATTAAGTGAAGAATTACAGATTTAATCAATTGTTTCGAATGCCGCATTTGTGTTGGGTGAAATCAATGTTGAGGCGCGAGCGATTACTTACTCGATTTCACGCTCCAGGAAGTCGACGCCGATCGTTTTCTTGTAGTCCCTCGTGTACGTACCCTTGCAAAACCTTTGAATCATCGATGATTTTCCAACAGCGCCGTTGCCTACTATCACCACCTGAGCGAATATTGTTAAGCGGTTATTTTGGGAAAAATCAAGGATATAGAATTTCGCGTAGAAATATCTTGATTCCTATATATTCTACACAAATTAACGGTAATCTACGATCGACCGATCGAAGGTCGTAAGCCACATAATTGCACAAAATACGAGCGATGACCGCGTCACGTGAGGAAGTGGGTTACATCGATATGAAGATACGAGTCCACAAAAAAAAAAAAACCGGTCGCCGGCGGCAATCTTGCCTCTGCCGACACGGTTTTCATTCTCTATTAATTTTTTTTTTTTTTTTTTTAAGCGTACACGTTGGAAGGAATTTTAGGAATTCTTGCGTACGAGTGAGGCACTTCTCAAAGGTCGACGCGATGAAATTGATGTCTAATCTGCGCCGGAGTTTTTTTTCCGTGAGTTCCGCACGTGCGTCCTTATCTTGATTTATCCGTCCTGATGGATTGTAAACCGCGGAGAATATCGTTTACTCCGACTGATTTCCACCATCCAGCGATAGGAATTACAGGGTGTCCCATCCCGGAGTCGTGTCTTCGATCGCGCGTTCCTCAGCTTTGGAATCACGAATACGGTACGGAGGATAGCTTTCACGTGATTAATGATGATTAATTGACGATGTTCTATCATCCGCAAACATTAACAAGTTAATGTTTTTAAGCATGTGCATGTGTCATTTGTTGCGAGTCGACTTTAGCGGGATTTCAACTTGAAACTCTGGATACGTGACGCATGTCCATTTTTAATCTCCAACTTAGCTTTAATCTCAATTTAACTCATTCAGCTTTTTCTATCTTTAAATTTCAGAAATTAGAAAGAGGTAAAAAGCAAGTTAATAATCGGATTTCATATCCGAGATAAAAAGTATAATCCCGAATACGTTCCGAATCCGGCTTTTCTTTTCGTTAGCATCTCTAAACATTTCCCGTATCATCTTTACATATAATATGTACATCTCTAATGTGTAATAAGAAGTGCGTAAAATTTACGAGTGTGATATTCTCCGAGCATTCGCAGAATCTACACGGGAGCCATTCGGGAGCCAAAAGGAGATTCGATTTCGTCAACAAATCGTCGTCGGTGTCCGTGAACAGTTCGGAGACACTCTGTATGGATAATAATAAGAAAGGCGTAAATGTGTGGTCTCTGGCAACAGGCGCGTACGCGATGAAAACGCGAGTAAGTACCGTTACCGGCAATCGGGAGATAAGCAGAGATCACTGGAGCAGCACCGAGCTCGTGCATGCGCTTCTCCCTTCTTTTTGTATTTACCACTTTAGCGCGCTCGCGCTAAAGATCGTGAAGCTGGATAGATGCGGCACGCATAACGTCGCGCGCAAATCCCACATTTTTTTCGACTTCGATCTTTCCGCTACGAATACGTTATGAATAATTGTGAATAAAGTTCATTCTCCCTCCTTCCGCTTTCCCAAGTTATCCGGATGTTGAGCTTCGAGCTCGTTTGCCTTTTAAATTGCGTAAAACTATGCTAGGATTTAATTCTCTAATTATGTACGCCTCGTGTGTGTGTGTGTGTGTGTGTGTGTGTGTGTGTGTGTGTGTGTGTGTGTGTGCATATGCAAATATGATTCTTTGCCCGAGTCGCCGCCACCGGTTAACTATCTAACACGCCGGATTGTACCTCGCGTGTTAATCGCGTGCGAAACTTATCGAGTCAATTCTCGGTGAGATTCTCGCGAGCTCTCGAGCTCGATCTTTCGCTGCGCGGGCTCAATTTTAATTTAGATGAATGTGCCACGGGAAAAAGGAAGGGAGACGATCGGATGGTCGCGTAATGTTGTAAATAAATGGCGAGTGAGTTAATTTGCACGCAAATGCGACGGCGAAATGGTTATTATTACGCGAATAAACCTTGGTAATTCCATTTATACGTATGGCGGAGAAAGCGTCGACTCGCGAGCGACTCGAGCTAATTCCGTTTCTTCGTTTTAGGTAAGAAGGGAAGATAATTACACACGCGTGCGTTCGAAACTTCCGAGATCGAGATCTCCGAGATTCCACTTCCTCGAAAAAGTTACCCTCTAAATCGCTTCTCGCGGGAAGGGCGTGCGGCGCTAAAGGTGTCGTCGTTAAGTCTTGAGACACTCGGGACACTCTCATCCTTCAGTCATTCTTCGGGAAATCACTCGTCGTTAACGAGTGCGAGAAACGAGCTTTAGGATTCATAGACGTATGCGAAAATCGGCGAGGAGATGAATAAAAGACACGCGGCCTCGCCGGGGAATGGTAAGCGCGTGGTTTAGCGATGCATTTACAATGAAGATGCGAGGAAGCCGCTTTCTTTTCCGGCGGAAAATCGCGGCGGGCGATGAGGAAGGAAAATTCGTCCGTTCCCCTTTCGGTCGCGCTCCATCGCGTTTTCCATAAGCGGAGACCGCGACGAGCGTGTTCGGAGAGAAATCTAAAAATCTTGAGAGAGATTAAAAAAAATTGGGGATTAAAAGATAAATAGAAACTAGAAGGAAGGAAAGAGGAGAGACGCCGGGGGAGCTCCGCGATTACCTTGAGTGATATCTCGAGCTCTTCCTCCCTCATTCTGACCGTAAAAGTCGATTAACATAATATCCTGATGCAGCGCGAATCCATCCTCTCTTCCGTCGATCGGGCGTGCGCGTGGATCGCCGTTGGCATGTGAAAATTTAACTTTTATTCGAAAGCGCGGCGCGGACGTGCGTGAGGAGAGAGAGAAAGAGAGGGATCTTCCTCTCGCTCTCTCTCCTTCTCAGTTCCTCTCTCTTCTCGGTATTCTCGAGTCGATGACTTTGCGCCTCGGCCGAGTCATTATTCAGAGGCACGACGCGCGGCGTCGCGTCGCGTCGCGTTTCTTATTCTCATCACTCGCGATATATCTCACTTTCTCGTAGGGAAAAGTCTTGCCCGCGAAACGGAACGGAACGGAACTCGCGCTTTGCGCTCCTGCGAAGGAGAGGCGGAGGGTTCTTGCCTCGCGCCGCCGCCGCCGTCGCCGTCGTCACCGACGTGAGTGGCACGGAACGGAACGGAACGGAGCACGCATGCACGCACGCATGCACGCACGCACGCACGCACGCCACGGACGCAGGCATGCACGCACGCACGCACGAATGCGCGCCGCTGACCACCACTGGCCGACTGAGGAGAACACCTGTATGGCAGGAGACACCTGTCGCCGACGCGCGCTCGCTGCTCTGGTGATTTTAAATCTCTAGCGAATCGCCCGTGCAAGACACTAGAACTACATCCAACTTGTAATTCTCCTCCTCGTTTATGCGTGTACATATGCACTACAAAATGTTTCGCGTTGCAAGTTTATCATTTTAATTTGCTTTATCTCTTAATCAATCATATTTTCCTGATACTTTGTCGCTCTTTTAAAGTTTCAGGTACGTATTCGCGGTTTCCCCAAATAACGACGTCTATAATCGACGATTGATAAGGTAGTATATAAAATATAATTCTCGCGGTAAATTTCTCTAACGATTGCACTATATTTAAAATTTTTAAATTACATACATATAATAATAAAAATGTAATGCATGTAGAATTTTGCGAGTTTTATTAAATATAGGTATTATTTTTATAAATATGGATCATATATTTTTCATGTAAATTGACTTCTCCATGTATAAAAGTATATTAAAGTAAAATCATGGAAAAATCCATAATTTATGAAATTTTATCGTAATTTTAGTATAAGATATGAATCATATTGTAAGATATTCATTTTTCGATATTTTTGAATGTAAAATGACATATCAATTAATATAAAAAAATACAATTGGAGATATTTTTTTGTCCACGAAAGAATCTTTTATATAATGGGTATTTGAGTAATCTTATTTTCATAAACAAAACTGTTGCGTTTATTTTTGTCACTTATTTCTTATACATCTAGAGTACTTTATCTTCACTCGCCACAAGTTCCTATTACATAGTTATGTGATAGGAAAATTGTTTTTCCTTCTAATTAGAAGAAAAGAGTTTGGATAAAAATTAACAGTAGTTCCAGTAAACTTTCATCCATTTTGTGCTTGTAATCGTTGCATTACATTTCATTATTATTATTATATATAGTTGGTAGTATTTTTATCTTACTTCTTAGTGCAGAGTGTCGTCGCAACTTATAATCAACAGATTTTATGTATATAGTTTAATAAATTTCTCCGTTTTAAAATATATAAAATATCTTCTCTTACAAATAACACATTTTCCTTTACTGAATTAAAATTTCTCAGAGAAACGTAAGATAAGATTTAATTGAAAGAAATCGTACTTTTTTTATGGGAAGTTGGTCGATGTATCGTTAATCTAAGTGATATATAACGGTATTACAAAGATTTACCCGACGACGATATCGGTTGTAAGCACGCATCTTTGAAATTCACGATTAATTTGGTACTATTAACACAGCTCTGATTTCAGAACAGAAGATGGGTTCTAGTTGATATCGTATATATTTACACGCACGTGTGTCAAGATGTTTTGTACGATTTGCATCAAATTCCGGAGGCGTATTCTCTGACGAAATTAGAGTCGATTTTTTCGAAAAAGTTTTTTAACATTAAAATATTCTTATTCTGAAACTTTTTATTATTAAAACAGTTAATGTGAAAAGATTGTGCAGATGGTTGGAAGGAAGCTTCCAATAAAATTTTAATCACACAGAAAAATCGACTCCAACTTCATGTTAGAACCAGAAACGAAAGGAATGGCGATAGTTTTGGCACATTCCGTACATGTTTGCGCATATGCGTTAAATGGGATCAAAATATTTCTAAAATATCTATATAATTTTTCATAATTTACCATTATGGAGTCGTACATTTATAAAGTACATCTAATATCCGCTTATTTTACGCGTAATAATAATTATTCTCTCAAGTTCGAGTCGTTTGTAAAAGTCGTGGAAAGTCGCAATAAATGAGTATAATAAAACATTAGACACGAGATATAAAAATATATAAAAATGACAAATTCGATAACATGAACATGTCCGAATGATGATTAACGAAGATGACGCAATTCGTGATGTACATTCTCTTTCTTTGAATACTTAAAATTATGACGATAAACTGATTTCTCGTCTCCATAGCAAATTCGTACATTTCTCATGCATAGATATTCGACAGACGCATACATTCTTGCGTATATATCTCCGACAAGTGATTTTACACGTTATAAGTAACAAGTGTACCTTAGAAAACGTTAGCTGGCAGTTTGTGTCAGTATTCACCGTTTCACGACAAATAGATAGACGAAAGAAATAACGTCGTTCGACGTAGTCGCTCTAGGACATAGTCTTCCGCGTTGTCTTGGACGGACCGATTGTAATTTTCTCGATTTTCGCACACGTATGCACATAACGTGAACGAAAAGTTTCATTTCGTCGTTTTCGACGTTTTCCATACATTTGCCTTTACAGGAGTACATCGTAATTAATTTGCGTCAAACTCGAGCGAAAAGAAGGAATGATAAAATTGTGCATTTATGGTCCGTCGTGGTTTCATCTCAACGTTGTCAATGCGGATACAAGAGATTTACTCTTCGTCACATCGTAATATATACGGGAATTGTAACACAGGAAGTATAACTTATATTGTACACGAATATGTTACATCGCTCCTACTACCGTCATCATCACCCGGAATTATCACCCTGATAGCTTATCAAGGTTTACTTCATTACTAACTGACACTTATAAACGATTTTACAAAGGCCATTTAACGTCTACGTGTATAACATCCTTACTGCGATCTAAAACGATATCTAAAACCTCGTCGCCGCTCCAGGTAAAGCTATCAAAATGCCAATATACGTTTGTCAAGTCATATAAGTAAAAATGTACAAATATCATTCTTCGAGCTTTATGGCAGACAGAATGTGCGAAGACGAGAACGTAAAAGATAAAACAGATAATGAAGGAACAGAAAGAGAAATAAAAAGGAAGAAGAAAATTGTATTGTTAAATAAAACTATCCTACTATGTATCGATCGTACGCCAAATAATCATAGTCGTTCGAGTATAAAAGCTGCGGTACCGAAAATACCGCGAAAACAAGCGTCACAAATAGATCAATGAAGGTCATAATCACCGTCGATGTAATGACGATGATACGACCATCGCGTCTCTTAATGGAGCAACATGGAAGAATTCGAAATCCTCTATTCAATATGCAGACGCTTCTTTGTACTCGGAACCTTCCATGGTAAAGAAATCCTCGAGTTTCCATTGAAGTGTCTCGAAAGTCGGTCTCTTCATAGGATCCTTGTTCCAGCATTCTAGCATAATATTGTAAAGCGTATCGGGACAACCAGGTGGACACGGCATTCTATAGCCATGTTCCACTTGATGAAGAACCTCAGCATTTGTCATGCCTGGAGAAAAAGAGAAAAGGAGAAGAGTGCATTTATATTTTTTTATTAACTTAATCCTAAATATATATTTCATAAAAATACTTATAAAATTGTGTGAAAAGTTGTGTATAATACAAATCTTGTGTATAATATAAGTTGTCTATAACACAAATTTTTTGTTTTCAAAATCTTACCTGGATAAGGTATTCTACCATATGTGACCAATTCCGTAAGAAGAATACCAAACGACCATACATCAGATTTAATACTGAATTTGCTATAATTGGCGGCCTCGGGTGCAGTCCATTTGATAGGGAAACGCGCTCCTATTCTAGCTTCATACTCATCTTCCTTAATGAGTCTAGCTAAGCCAAAGTCCGCGATTTTAACGACGTTTCCATCAGCTACGAGAACGTTACGGGCGGCCAAATCTCGATGAATATAATTCTGAGATTCCAAATAAGCCATACCAGCGGCTATTTGCGCGGCCATGTCGATCAGTTGTTGCAGTTTGAGGCCTCTGCCTTTTCCTAAAGAAAATCAATGCATACGTAGATAACAAAAAGACGTGATTGTAGAAATATTAGCTTTATTGATTTTGTAATAATATTTCGGGATGGCATCTTAGAAAATTAATGAGAAAGTAAAATATGCAATTAAATTAGATTCAGAAATAAATTTGTTATTTTTAGCGCTAGAAAGATGATGACTTTTTAAAATATACAAAATTCCTACATGTCCCAAAAAAAGGTACCGAACAAAAATTAGAAATATCAATTAATCAATCCTTTTTTAATTTATAAAGTTGGCAATTATTTTTTCATAAAATTAGGTATTCTTGTAAATATTCTTTAATTATTTAAAAAGTTTCGATTTATGTTTTCCACATAAATCATAATACGGTGATAAAAAAAAAAAGAAGATCAAATCATACCTTGCATACCTTGTAAATATTCCAGTAAGCTGCCGTTTCTCATCAATTCCGTAATGATATATATTGGCTCCTCCATCGTGCACACGGCATACAACTGAATTAGCTTGGCGTGTCGTAGTTTCTTCATGATCTGCGCCTCGGCAAGGAAGTCTTTCGGGTCCATGGTACCCGGCTTAAGCGTCTTTATCGCCACTGGGGTAGTGTTGTTCCATAGACCTTCCCAAACTTCACCAAACTGTCCCTGTCCCAATTTCCTCAAGAATTTCAATGACGAACGATCAATCTCCCATTGATCTCGCGTACGGTGACTAAGGCCCTCCGTTACGGGTTTCTCAACCTGTCGAACAAAGCCAGATACGGAATCAGCCGTCGTCGAAAAGCGGATAGACACGAGACTCGATTTTGTGCAAGGAAGAAGTTTGTGTTTGATCGGCCGCATTAATGGCGAGCTATATTTTTCGTTCCGTCTCCTTTATGAGAAAAAATTCTATAGCTAAGCATAAAAGATAATATTCTACGTACACTGTAAAGAAAGAGCGCTAGTGCTTAACTTCCCTGTTTCGCGGAATACAAACCTACTTCTCTCCGAGTCCTGCAATCGTATAAGAACTTCAATAACGATCCCGGACGATAAATATGATCGCGAGATCGTTCCAACAGTGATATGCGTTTTAGAGAAACGAGGAGAAAGACGAAGAGAAAAATGAGATAATGAACGATGTAATATGCAGAATGTCTCAAATACGCCGCAGCTAGTCGAAAAAAGAAACCATGCTGCGAATCTCAGAAACGGTATCGCGTGTATATATATATATATATATATATATATATATATATATATATGTGTGTGTGTGTGATACCGTATATATATGATCTAAACGTGATAGCATGCATATATGCTCCTTTACGCTCGTTCGCCTCTTGAATAACGAATGAGACAAGTATGCAGGAAACGCTTTTGGGACATCCTGTATACAAATACAGATTTCGAGCACACATACATTCGAGCCGACAAGCGCGGTTCTCGCTTTTGCGTCAATACTTGTATATTGCAAAGATTCATACGTAAATTGTTATTCACAAGCGAGAGACTGCATTTCGCAGTCAGAAAAAGAAAAGTTTCCTTGTGTGTGCTGCCAATCTTGATTCTTAATATTTACCTATATACGTTACACCTCTGGCGAGGTCTACGATGATAAATGAATTGATGTGTATGCGTGTATATGAGATAACTTGTCTTAAATATGAAATTACATCGAATGTATAGAGCTTTTATATGAGATATCTCTAAGTGAATGACAATCTACTGCTTTTGATACATAATCCCATATAGAACGGGCTTGTGCTGTATATACAGGCCAGACACAATAAAATATGTAGAAGCGTTTTACGTCGAGAAAAAGAAAGGAATCGGAAAAAACGTGTTATGGCAAAACGTATATTAGGACATTCAATTTACCAAGAAAATCCATCGGGAGGTAGGGCAAGCAATAAACAGACAAACAAACACAATCTATTCAGAATCGAACTTGGCAATAAGTGCTTATCAATGCTTCTAAAAAACTGATATCTCTTTCTTTTTTCAATATGCAACAATACAAGACGTAAGCATACGTTCGTTTGCTGTGTCATTAAAAATTTCATTTAGGTTTCCCTACTCGCGACTCTCGAGAAGGATAAACAAACAATTGAATCATAGAATTGCGAATGTAATCGATGTAATTGATTATGTTGTAAATGTTCTGTATACGAAGCGACATCTCGACGATCCGAGGTACCGCGCACTAATAGCAGTAACACGCTTACGATAAATTAAAGATAACAACAAAAAGAATTTACGAAAAAAGATACCGATCTTGCTAATAATATTAGATAACAGTAATAATATACTAGCATATAATATAGCGATATAACAGTAATAATATACTGTTGGTCGAGATTGTTCCCATTATCATAATCAAACGTATCGATCGCATCGTTGCTCTTGCTGAAGCGTTGGAGTTTAGACAGTATTACGGGATACAGGAAATGAATATAAAACAATTCGTCGATAATCGACGATCTCAATTGATCTCGCAATTTCATGCGTGGGTATATATTACGTGCGTATAATTTTTAAAAGGATTTCTGCGATAATCTTATTCATAATCGTTTCTTTTCGTCGTGTACTTCAATCGAGATTTATCTCTTAACGCACTTACGCGTTTTAATGTCAATTTTCCGCTCGCGGTCTCAAAGCGCGGTCTCAAAGCTGTGTCTCAGAAACAAACAAAATCGCGTTTTTTATTATGTGTGTAAATATTTTGTGTGTGTGTGCGTGCGTGTGCGCGCATAAATTTCTCGTACGTATCGTTTCGTTATCGATCGAAATCTGCCGAACTCAGCGATAAGCGAAACTCCGATGTTTTCATTTTGAAACGGACCTCTGTCTAAACTCCCCCTTGTCGATTCTCGTAATTCGGGATTCTTGCGATCGACAGCGAGTGGTAGGATTATTCTCGACGATTATTCTCTATCAATTATCACAGCGTTATTGTATTGAGAGAAGCGGAGATCGCGTCGGCCGCACGTAGAGCTTACCTGCACACAAGGTTTGCATAGATTGACGCAGAGGCCGTCCGCGTCCTTGCTGTAGTGCTCGACGAGATCTTGCAGGTTTCTGAAAGTGGTTCGCCTAGCGATAAAGAAGCCACCCTCGTCCAGTTGGCGGATACGGTAATGCTTGACCGTGTCGCCATCGCGCACTACAACAATCATCGATATACATTCCACTTTGGCGCTTTAATGGCCCCTCGCAATTTCGCACGGAGATCGCACGCACTATCGCGCCCGATCTCGTCCGATCATTATTCATTTATTTGCTATCGCGCCGTCGGTATCACGACCCGACGACGCCGCGTCGACCGGTAGTTTCTATTATCGTTCTGTGACGTTACCTGAAAGGGAGTAATCATTGTGTCGGCTCTCGGAGTCTCTTATCAGAAACGCGCCGTGATCGTTTTCTGGCAGGAGCAATTTTTTCTCGGCCTCAATTCGCTTAATCTTCCTAAAATACCATCTGTAAATGCAAATTAAGCGTTACGGTCTTTTACAGATTCACTCTTCCTCCTATCAACGACTAAGATCCCTTAGTTGTGAATCAACTTCTGTGAAACATCATTTTGCAGACTAAAGATCGCAAACTGGATGACGAAATGACGAAATCCTGCCTGTCGACCATAATAAATTATTTAAATTCCGCGTATATAAAAAATTCTATCACACACGAATGAATCGATTGAAAAAAAGTCTCGTTTAAAATTAAATTCAAATCGACAAAGCGACTCACGGTTCCGCCTCGATTGACTTCAATTTGGCGACGTAATTGCTGGGAATGTAACCCTCCTGCCTGGTCCTCTTACTCTTGGCCAGCCACCAGTCTCCCTGCGTGTCGTTGATTATCTCTAAGTGTTCCCCCTTCCTGAAACTCAGATCCTCGTCCGTGCGCGCATCGTAATCGTACAACGCGACGAATATCTTTGCGGTCGCAACGTCCGTGTCCGGGATCTGCGGAATCGGCCTGATGGGATCCGGTGGCGGTGTCGGCACCGGGCTGACTTGGGACGCGACCGCCTCTATGCTCGGATTGCCAATCCTGTCGGACTTCTCCTTCTCCACGTCGGTTTGGCTGCTGAAGCAGTTCCCCATGTTTGCACGTCTATCCGACTCCGATCTCGACGAGTCTTCTCAAAAGGGAGAGAGAGAGACAGAGTCCTCTCAGAACGCGTCGTTGTCCAGGAGACGCGCCGCCTTCCTTTCTCGCATTTAACGAGCGCGTGACCGACTCACTTTGTATCCGGGTCTCGTCCCGGAACAATGTCCGAGTCCGTTTCGTGACTGTTTAATAGCGGTCGCTAGATCGAATACGTAGGCGTATAACGATCGAGAACGAGAATCGTGCACTTTTAGCCGATGTACTTCGGCGGAGTCGCGTCACACGGTAGATTGACCCGATCAATCGCTTTCAGGCGGTTCATTCATTCACCTGGGAAGAGGGAGGAGGGGGAGAGGAGGGATGGTCCACGCGCGGCACCCCGAGGATCGAACCGTGACGCGCGAGATCTGTCAGCTGCGTCGTCCCGAGGACAACGGGTGGAGGAAGTGCGGGCGCGGGCGCAGAACGGGCAGAATCGTCGGCCGGGTATCGCGGGAAGTGGCGAGCCGTGGCGGAAGGATCACATCCGCGTGGGAAAATCCCGAGGCGGTTCCGCGCATTCTCCGGATATCCTGGGCCTTTCGGACGGCGTTCGGTCGCACCACCAGCGGGCTACCCGCTGCATCGCTCCACGGCGGAAGAACGCGAACGTAGCCCACTACTCCGGATAGCCCGGAGTACACAAACGTTGGCAGCACACACCTTATTGCTGGCGTGACGTTTCCTCAGCGGTTATCGACGAGGCGACTAGGCGATTAGTCCTCGATTAGTTTCCCGACTATGGACTCGGCGGAGGAACGCGGGTGATAGACCGAGAGAGAAAGAGAAAGAGAGAGAGAGAGAGAGGAGGAGAGGGAGAGAGAGCGCGCCGACGATCGGCCTCTCACCTCGATGGAGCTTAGAAAGTAGGCGAGTCGCCAGGCGCCGTCGCCATTGCAGCGCGAGCGATTACAGATCCGTCAAAAGGCTCTCGGCGCGGCTCACCGTCACCGTCACCGTGAGCGTGGTCGGTGTCTCCTGTCCTGTCCTATCCTGCCCCGTCCTGCTCCGTTTCCGTTCTCGCATGCGCGCGCGCACGCGCGCGCTCGTGTACTGCCCACCGACACGGGATGTGTCGCCTTCCTGCTCCGACACTCACGACACACGCCCAACTCCCGTGGACGATCGCGATCGGATCGACGCCGATCGCGACGACGACAACTGTTGCGTTACCGCCGCCGCGGACACTACTCCCCGCGTGTGCCTCAGAGCCAAGCTGTCGCCTCCGAACTTGTTCTCATCGTTCACGATCCACGCCCCGCATCCAACTCGCTCGTAAAAAACGTGACGAGTCGCTCTTACGTTCGAATCACTAGCGTACACGAGCGTACACGACTCGACTTCGAGCTTGTCGCGACTCGCACAATTCAATCACGAATCGTGATTCACGAGTCGTGAATTTCACGATCCAATCGCGATGGAGAAAGCCACGATATCGGAGGCCGCGGGAGAGAAGACGCGCGCTTCCTCGATTCTCAATGCGACGCTGCCGACCCTCGGCGGACTCTCGGCTCAACTACGTCTCGAGGTCCGCAGCGTTCGCTCGATAAAGAGCTTGTTCGTCTATTTTGAAAAACGTGCCACTGCCCACTTCTGTTCTTTCTGGATTCATTGCATATATGTGTTAAAAAATCGTTTACATCACTCTGACAATTCTTTCATGTACGTCTTCTTCAGTGACTTTAATTTTTAGAAAATATTTGATAAATATACGCTCTCTCTCTCTCTCTCTCTCTCTTCCGATTTTCCTGTAATTTTGAAAATTTGTATATTTTTATGTGTAGAATATATTCTGAAAAAAAAAAATTGTCGCATAAATCTTAAATTATATACTATTTCTCCGCTATAATTTAAATCATAAAAAATAATTTGTTTTTAATTAATTAAAGCAGAGAATATGCGGCCATAAACTGTCATTAAATTATTATTTTCTGACTATCCAAGTGAAAAAAAACTTGAAAATAAAAAAATCGAGAGTAATTGATTTTCCTTCTTAAAATATATTTCCCAGTGAATGTCCAAAATCGACGCGTAAGATAACTTCAAGATATCTTTCAGAGATATCTTTTTTTATGAGATATCTTAAAGATGTTTCTTAAAGAATTCTTAAAATTGTCTTATGCGTCGATATTCCGCTCGTTGAATTCTATGCATGAAAATACACAAAATTACAGGAAGATTGATAAAGAGAGCGTTATATCGCATATTTAGCAAATATTTTAAACGATAAATTCCGTCTTCATGTTTGTATTGTAAATAAGATTACAAATGTAAAGAAAGGGAAGGAAAAGCGCGTATCACTTAAAAGGAATAATATCGGGAATGCATCTGGATAAAGGTATCTCCGCATTCTGTATCTCCTCTCATGTATATATCGTTTGATATATTTGCTTACTTCTCGATAAACTTTGCTAACAAGATCTCGACCAAGCCAGAAAAATACAGCTAAAATCGGTTACAATCGCTGTAAGATGGTCGTCAGTGTTACTGTGGGGGTGGCGCAAAGAAAGCCTATGGGGTCCTGTCGATGTCGCAACGACCAGAGTTTTATTGACAGTAAAGAAGCGAACGTTTTCGAAAGTCATTTTATTATTTTATTAAAGCTTATTAAATGCTTATTAAAGCATCATAAAAAGAATGTATTTACTGTTATTTACGTTAATTGAAATTTATTGCCATGTCTACGCGAGGACCACCGGGATGCCTTTTTACGCCACCCTATATAAATTACATACAATGAACACGGCAGTGATATATATTTATATATTTACATATCCTTGCCATTCACTAGGTTCTATAATACTCGCCGATTGCAATTTCAAAGTCTACGGATCCAAGTTAGGATTTGTTCCTCGAATAAATTTCAACGATCGATTTACCATAATAATTATCGTCTCGACACTCTACTTTATTTCTCAAAAAGAAAACATCGACAAAATGTATTCAACAACGGTTACAGTTCTCGTTAAACAAGAGATTACTCTCGCTATCGTTCTGTACAATGTTTCGGAACTCTTTTTATTCAAAAGATGCGTATCTAGCTAATCAACCTGACGGATTGCGAAAAGATATATCAATTTTATAGCGAATTTCATTCACTACACTACACCAGGTTAGTGCACATTAAAGACTGCTACATATGAAATATCTAAATATAGTAGCATAATATTACTTCCTTAATAATGAAATTATTAATTCATATTCAGCTAAATAATGACAAATTCATTGTTGACTAATTATATAATCATTTTGAAGTATTTATGTATTTTTACATTTCAATAATTTCATGTATATTAGCATTTAGTATGCACTAACCGTGCAGTGAATGGAATTCGCTATTATTTTCAACAGCCTATCGGAACATGCGATATGCATTTCATCCTCGATAAAAAAAACGTGCAGAATATAATTGCTTGCAAATTTAGGATTCATTGTAATAAAAAATAATTGGAGTCAATTTATAATTGTCAAGTGAAAGAGAAACCGAATTTATATTTTGCTGGTTTTACGAAGAGCGTAAAGTAATCACAAGAAAAGCGTTAAGAAACTTTTTGAATGCAAAAGAATGCTTTTTTTCAGAAAAAAGTAAATAAAAATTTTAAAACATTATATTTAAATATTTTTGATGAAAGATTTCATGTGTATTTGAAAATGTGAATCGAAAAAATTTGGTTCTGATTAGTCGTTGTATAAAAAGGAATATTTATTCCTCTAAAAAGACAAGGTGAAATATATATATAAAATCAGATAAGAAAGAGATGCTTTTCTTTTATGAAATAATCTTACTGAAATTAAATGTGCAGTTATTATGCTTTTGATTGCTACATGCGATTATGTGATTGCTCTGCTAGAAAATCACAATTAAAAATAATCTCTCTTTATACGTACAGCGACTCTTTTACATATTCCGTATTCTACAAATTTATTTTTTGAGGAGTGAAAGAGCTGCTTTCCTTTAATCCTCGGCAAGAAAGGCGTAAACAATAACGAAGCTCTTGTTTCTTAACGTAGCTTTGTCTCTTCTTTCGACATTTAATTGCGCGAAATTGGATTCGATTAACTCTAGTTCTAAGAAAAAGATGAAGAGCAAGTTAAACCGAGATCAAAGAGCATAAATCGACGAAAATCTACGAAATAAAACGTTCACCGACTGATATAGCAAATTCATGACAAGCTAAATTTTTCAAAAAAAAAAAAAAAAAAAGACAAAAAGAATCGTTGCATTGCACGTCACGAGCATCTTTGTAAATTCTAAATAAAACATTCGCTAGGGAAAAGTCAAAGATGAAGCTTTCCTAATCGTTTACGCAATTCTCCCGAGCGATCCCTATGGAGCATCTTTAGAAAAATAAAGGAAAACGCGAGTGTCACGTTTATTTACTTTAAATGGCTTTAAAACGAGCATATCAACCTTGTCTAGTTAGTAAATTACGCATGATTATATTTCCTCGCATGACATATTAGTAAAATCTACGACATGTCTGCTACTCAGAAATAATTATTTTATAATAATAATAATAATTATTCTTTCTTTATAGTCTATCAAAATATTCATCACAGTGCTACGGACACAAAGATTGTGTTCTGGTTTATGTTATATATACATATATATGTGTAAATAATTATTTTTTTATTTCCAGAGAGAGAAAGAGAGAGAGAGGAAAAACTCACGAGTTCTGGTCACTCACGTTCATCAAATCACAAGGAAGAAAAAACAGATCACAATTTTGTAAATCACAAAAGTCACACCTCACTTTCCGGGAAAAAAAATTTTTTTTTCTCGGACTTTTTTTATTCCTTGTTAGAAATTACAATAATTCGCTGCAAAAACATGAAATAATGCAGGAATAACTTTGTACTTTTTACTGTACGTATCATTTATTCACAACACATTTTGATCTTTCTCAATTTATTTATATTCCGTTAGAACGCGAGACCAAATATGTCGATGTTTTTCCACACTCATATCACTTTTTTCCGTTTTATTTAAACGT